TAATAAATCATTTTCAGCCATAAAATTAATCTCTATTGACCTGCAATACTTAGTAGCTAGGAGTGGACAGGCTCACCCACTTATAGTACCCCTCCATGGCACCAGGGCATGCCAAAAGCCCAAGGCTTAATCTCTTGCATCATCTGCAAGAAGTTTTTGCCAAACTGTGATCCTCATGACACGTACCTGAGGTGTTTGTGTTAAGAGCATCAGTCTGACAGCTGTAAGATGTGCAGAGCATGAATTCACACTAAAACAGCTCTTAATGGAAGCCAGTTTTTACCTTTAGCTACAGACTGTCAGGCACTGGGTGCATGCTCAATTTGCATCCTCCATTTTGGTATGGGAAATAGTTCTGGGAAAGAACTCTTGTATGAGAGACTCTGGGCAGCAAACCATATGGCATTGGCAGGCACATTGGCCCCTCAACATCACTCCTGGTAGAACAAAGACATGTGTATATTTATATCAGCTTTCTACCACTAGAACCTTTTAATCCCATCTTCCAGAGGAGTGTTTCTTACACACTGAAGTTAGCTATGGACAAACTAAATCCCTCTATGACAAATATTTAGGCATTTTTCTCCTGCAGAAGAGGAACATTTGGCTCACAATCACACTGTTATCCTTCAGCTGGAAATCACAATGCAATTTCACTGGTCCTAAGATCCCTACAGCTGGAAATACTGGAGGGACTGTTTTGGGCAACATGGGGATAATACATATTTCTCCTTTTGCTGACCCCACAGATAGCACACACAATGAAATACAGGTCAGAGTTTAGACTATCGCCTTAATGGTTCTATGAAATTTTTTTTTCTTCGTCGAGTAGTGTCCCCGAGGGTGCTCCACTCGAGGTGCTGGGTCCGTCCCGGTGCCGCAAAACGGAGAAACTTCCCCAGCAGTAGCCCTGCCAGCCCATGCATGCGCTCCTGTTGCCTCATGCCGTTCGCGCCTTTACAGCTGAGCGCGGGCCAGCTCATCAGTTTCCTTCAACCTTCCGCGACCGCAGATGGACCTAGGAGAAAAGGGAGTTTCATTTAGAAATCTGTTTGCCATTTGGCAGTTTATAGTTAAGATAGTGTTAATAGTTCTTAGTAGTTTTTACTTAGATAGTTAGTTAGTCAGTCTCAAGTTCCTTGTTTCGTCCTAGTTTATTTTTTTGTAGTAGCCCTTAAAAAAAAAAAGAAAGAAAGAGAGAGAGAGAGAGAGAGAAAAGGAAAGACAAAATGCCTGGGTTCAAGAAATGTTCCCAGTGCCAGGAGGCGATGCCTGACTCAGATGGGCATTCACGCTGCGTTAAGTGCCTAGGGGACGGGCACATCCCTATGAAGTGCCCTCACTGCATGAAACTGACAGCCTGCGCTCAGAGCGATAGGGAAATGAGGCTGAGGGTGATTTTATTCAATAAAGCCCTCAAGTCCGATGCGACCACGTCTTCTCCCACTGTCTCGGGAGTTCACTTGTCCCGTTCACCTGAGAAGGAGCTCCACAATGCTGAGCCACAGCCCAGGGATGTACAGGACAGACCGGGTACCTCTTAGGGTTTGCCGAGGCACCCAACAGAGAAGCCGGGCAAGAGCCGCAGTGCCTCAGCTCCGACCTTGGTCGGATCAAAAGACCCGATGCGGGCTCCCTGTAAGGGACCGCAGGCAGACTCGGCACCGGCAAAGGCTCCACATTGATGCCCCCGGCACCGGCTGATACTGCGCATGCGCGGCCACTGACAGTCCTGCTGGCACCCATGCCCACAGTGCCAGCTGATGAGATCTTGCTCCCTGCGGTGCCGCAAGCAACAGCACCGACTCAAGCACCACAGGCGGCCAACGGCACCACGCAGCACTCTGCACTGCAGCCTCCCCCGGCACCGGCACAGCTATTAACTCCCGCGGCACCGCTGATTCAACTCCAGGACAGCCATGCAACCGGGACTGCACCACTTCGAACGGCACTGTCTTCTCCTGAAGATTGTTTGTGCAGATTGTTCGGTGCCCTTCAAGTCAAGGTGCGTGTGGACCCCTTCACTCATGCCTGAAAGAGCACGGTTCTCTCCGGGACCTTGGTCACCAGCTTCACTCTGCTCTGAAAACCATCGTGCTTCTTATTATGTCTCCCCTAGAGACCGATATCATAGATCACCGCAGCGATCACCATCGTACCATCACTATCGCTACCACAATCAACGACGCTATTCCTATTATTCTCATTCACCATCTCGTTTTTCCGATCAACGATGATATTCCTATTATTCTCGTTCACCATCTCGTTTTTCTGACAGATCTATATCACCGAGGTCTTCGGGACGTTCGAGATATTCACGTCGATGCGAGGAGTCTAGAGCCTACACTCCTAGACGATCCCCGACTCACGGTCGGAGATGGGACCGTCATTATGATGACCGCCGGTGTCCTCATAACACGCGATATCCACGATCACGATCTCTGCAAACCGCATGCCCAGCGTCACCAACTCGCGCACCTTCGCCGGCGATTCCATCAGTGCCTGTGGAGGGCGCGATGCCAGTTACTAGTCAGGACGCGTATGAAAACAACTACACTCTGAATAGGGAACCACGGACCCCTGAGTCTCCGGCCAACCAGTCATCTCCGGACGATGCTGTCTTTCCTGGTGAACTATCTCCCACGGAAGATCACAAACAGTTTCAGGAGCTCTTTGCCAGGGTGGCACAATCTCAGGGTATCCAGATTACGGACGTACAGCAAAAGCAACATCCCTTGCTGAAGAACTTGCAGTCCTCACAAAAATCAAAACTGGCTCTGCCCTTCGATGAGGCTATCCTGGAAATCGCAAATGATATATGGCAGACCCCCGCCGCTTCTTTACCGACTAACAAGAGGGCGGACAAGAAATACTTTATAAACCAAAAAGGGATGGATTTTTTGTTTACGCATCCCCAGTCCAATTCCCTTGTTATGGACGCTGCCCAGCAAAGATCAAAGATGGCCCAAAATAAAAATACGGCAAGTGATAAAGAGGCTAAACGCCTGGACATTTTAGGTAGAAAAGTGTATTCTTCTGCCACTTCAGTTCTCCGGCTGTGCAATTATGTGGCCCCCCTTGCCAATCACGACTTTGATAACTACTCCAAATTAGTCCCTCTTCTAGAGCACCTACCAGACTCAAAGTGCAAGATCTTGAGGGTGGTAATACAAGAGGGCTACACAACAGCCAGAACAGCGCTTCAGATCGCCCTAGACACGGCTGATGCAGTAGCTAGAGCCACGGCCACTGCGATAGTTATGCGTCGCGGGTCGTGGCTGCACCAAGCAGCTGCCCCGAGGGAGTTATTAAGCAAAGTGGAAGACTTACCTTTCGATCGTCAGTCTCTTTTCTCCCAGTCCACTGATCAGGTGTTCCACTCGGGCAAGGACTCCCGTACGACTCTTAGAACGCTTGGCATGTATACGCCTCCGTATAAACGTAAGAGGTACACGCCCTATAACAAACAGAGACCCTTCTCTTATGCAACATTCCGCCCCCCATATGAACAACAGAGACCAAGGCAAGAACAGCAAAAATGAAGACAACAACCTGGAAAGACTTCCGGTCAGCAGCAGGGCCGGCAACAAGTTTGATGGGTCAGTCGAGGGACTGCGTGCAACTCCTATGTCGGGAGCATCACACAATCAGGTAGCCTTATTCCATCATTGGCTGAGGCCTTATCAACATCTCTGGTCTCTGATATCCACCGATCGATGGGTCAATGACATAGTTGTTTCAGGATATGCCATCCTTTTCAACTCCATCCCCCCCCACTTCCCACCCTCCCCGTCCCTTTTCAGGGACCCCTCTCACGAGACTCTTCTACAGCAAGAGGTGTCCCGACTACTTACTATAGGAGCCGTGGAGAGGGTACCCATTCAATTTCGGGGGAGAGGTTTCTATTCCAGGTACTTCCTCACCCAGAAGAAATCAGGGGGTTGGAGACTTATCCTGGACCTGCGTCGACTCAACCGCTACCTGAGAAAACAAAAATTCAAAATGGTCACGTTAGCTTCTATCATCCCGGCTCTCCACAAAGGGGATTGGTTTGCGTCCCTCGACTTACAGGACACCTATTTCCACATAGCGATTCACCCGGCCCACAGGCGATTCCTTCGTTTCGTAGTGGGCGCAGAACATTACCAATACCGAGTGTTACCTTTCGGTCTGTCAGCAGCACCATGGGTGTTTTCCAAAACCCTGGCGGTGGTAGCTGCTTACCTCCGATGCCTCAATATCACCAGCTCTCAGAGGGTATGTCTACACTACCCTCCTAATTCGAACTAGGAGGGTAATGTAGGCATACCGCACTTGCAAATGAAACCCGGGATTTGAGGAGTAACGGTAGTTCGAACTACCTAGTTCGAACTACCTAGTTCGTGTCGCGTGTAGCCGCGCAGCATGGGGTTCGAACGAGCGGGGATTTAAAAATGGAGGCGCCCCGCTTATGCAAATGAAGCCCGGGAAATTCAAATCTCGGGCGTCATTTGCAATTGCGGTATGCCTACATTACCCCGCTAGTTCGAACTAGCGCGGTAGTGTAGACATACCCTAGGTGATGTAATTCTCAAGCAAACAGGTATCACAGTAAAGGAAATGTACAAATCAAAAGTGAATATAGAAATTGTAAGTGAATATAGAACACAATTCATTCAATATGTAATAGCACAGCACTTTTAATGACTGACACTCTTTTTACCAGAGTAAAATTTGTGCCCTATTGACTTCTTTTCCATTTAATCATGACCAGGAAGCTTCTGGCCAACATTGTTAAATATGTTTGGGAACTGATCTCTCATCCAATCTTCTGTGTAGGGGAATGGGTAATCGGCTAGCCTTATAAAATGACTAGCTGCAAACACACTTTCTGGCTCCTCAGTTGGTAAATATTTCTGCTAGTCTAGGGATAAAGGGTGCTGTTCTCACTCTACAGCTTGCGAACACATGGATACAAATTAATTATTTTTCTCCTTCCCTTTTCTCCATGATACTTTTCCAGAGCAACTCCAAGAGCAAAATGGTGAGTATTCGAAATTACTCCCCAGTCATGTGCTCTGATGATCCTATGTACAGCTAGAAGGTTATATCTATACTAGTGAGACTGGGGTATCTTTTGTACAGCAGTATCCCATGTGCATGACAGTGCATTACAGAGCTGAGAAATTGCTAACTTTATGCAAATCTGTGTGGAGAGGAGATATTGCAGGGCTGCTATTGAAAAGAAGGGAGGGACCATATTAGGAGAGTGAGATTTATGCCCCATTCACTTTTCCATTTAATCATGACCATGAAAGTTATTACTAAATTTGTTAAATGTGTTTGGGAATTAATCTCTCTATTAGTGTTCTGTAGAGAACAATGGGAATGTGACCAACTCCTTAGAATGATTAGCTGGCAAAGGCTCTATCCTTCTCAAGAGCCAGTAGTCCACACGAATATTTTAATCAAGGGCAAAAGGTTCCCAGTCTCACTCTACAGCTTGCTAAAACACAGACATTCATTATTTTTCTCTTTCTCTTTTCTCTGTAATTCATTCCCAGACCAACTCGAAGAAAAAATGGGTGAGTTTTCTGACTTACTCACGGGCTCTGCTAGTCCTACATATATCTAGAGTGTTACATGCCAAAGTCCATAGGGGGATGACAGACTTTCCCAATAGACTATCCATGGGGGGAGGGATGGAGGCAGAATAGACTTTCCCAATAGACTCTTGCCAGGTCCCCTTTGGCTGCTGCTTTGTGCTGACACTTTAGAAAGTGGCAGGCTCCGTTAATATGGATGCGCTCCCTCAGACTCAGAGCCCCAGGGCTTTCTCTGGTGAGCTGTGGGAGGCCTCCCGGGGCCAAATAGTTCTAATTAGCTTCACTGGAGCATCCACGTTAATGTTATTTCAGACTTACAAGTTGAGGAATACCGTTCTTCCTCATGAAAAGCAGGACTACAGAGCTCAAATTCCAAGGCCCCTTATTCCCAAATAACAGACTTGAGATGTTTTACTTAAAGAATGGACATTGTGGGTCTTATTTCAGAGTTAGGTCCTTGTGTAGACCAGGACTACGTTTTTATGAACAGCCTCCTCTCTCCTTGTGAATGTTTGGGAACTCTGTCTCAGGTCATCCCACCACCCAGGAAAAATGTCAGCTGGGACTTCCAAGAACCTCTCAGCTGGAAGTTTCTTCAGCATCTTGTGGCCAAGGCAAGGGCGTGTGAATTCTTAGAGGAACATTGGAGCAGCTTAGACTCACCCTAAGCAGAGCCCTTGAGAATGACAGAAATCGAAAGAGACTCAGGATTCAGACCTGCCCTGATTAGCTGTCAACAGAAGTTTGACCTTAACTCTTTGAGGAACAGGATTTCTGTCCAAGGTCTGTGTGTCTTAAGGACAAAAAGGAACAACCCAGTTAATACATGCACATTGTTTTATGTTTCTTGTCCTCCTTTAGAAAGGAAACCAGTGTTTCCAGAAGCAGGTAAGAGTTCCATTCTTCCATCAGTAAAAGTGAAATCTCTGCCTAAGGGGTTCCATCTGCTCTTGGAGCTGGATGGGTGATTACCAGATCACTAGGACATACTCGTGCTCCCTCTTACCTGGCTAGGCTGTGAAAAAACTGTGTCTTGTGGTTAATACAGGTCATGTGTGCAGCTCTGGGAGCTGGCCACTCCCAGTACCGTCCCAGCTAGACCCTGGGGGTGCATATACAGGGTGGCGAGCCCCACCGTCCTCCTCGCCGTCCGTGCCAATTTAGCCATCTCTTGGATGCAGGGAAAATGAATGAAAATCGTTGGATGTTTCTTGTCCTCATTTCAAAAAGGGAGAAGTGTTCCTCTTTGAGGGCTTGTTCACATCTGTTCCAATCAGGAGTACACGCAACCATGCGCACTAGGGTTGGAAATGTTTTCGTCCAACTGCTCCTTGCCATGGTGCCACTAGCTGCTGTTATATACCACCACTGCCCTGAGCCCTCCCTCAGTTCCTTCTGACCATCTGTGGTAGCAT